TACGGAACATTTACTTTCGATCAATGGTTATCAGTAAGTGAAGTTAATTTCATAGTACAGAACAAAAGGCTCAGACAGAGAGAAAGTCACGGAAGGAAGGTAAATTAATTTTTTAGACGAAAGCGACAAGACAAAGAGAAATGTTATCTATAAAACTGACCATCCCACGAAAAGACGCACAAAAGGCACGAAGCGGGCCTCGCAGAACGGACAGGGAATACGGCTGCCGAACTGTTCACCTCCCTCACCTACCCCTCATCTCAAAAATAAAATCTGCTTTAGTGCTAAAAACTGTTTAGTTTTTCACTCGTGGGTAACGATCTGCTTGAAGGGTAATTTTTAAGCCACCAGCGTTTGACTGGAAGAAACATTAAAACAAAAGAAAATTATTTTTAAGCCAATAAAAAGCTTTAAAAAGAAATTAAAGAAATGCATTGATTCAATCCGCTTTTATAGAAAGCTTATCTTTTAAAAAGAACACTCACTCAAATTAATTTAAAAAAATGACCTATTTTGAAATGTATCAGATTTCCTGAACTTGAATCCTACAATTCGAATTCATACGAAAATATATTTTGTTCTTTACATATAAAGGAAAGTAACATTTGTGTTTTAGCACTACATTTCTTCTTATCAAACTGCTTACATTGTAAGCGGTGAATATTTTTTTTATAGATATATGCATTTGTTATTTTTTTAAAATATTAGATTGAGTCATAAATAAATTCCGTTTTGAGGAACCAACTGTAATGGCGAATGTATTATCCTAAGTACAAATCATACGTGGCAGTTAACAATAAATTTGGAGTACAATAACATCCATTAGTTTTTTTGACAGTAGTGACAGTGTACACCGTAGATTAAAGGATACATTTCTTAACCCAAATAACGGCAGTAATGAAAATAAATTTATGTCACATAATGGGAGTTCGAGAAAGGGAATGGCGGTATTAAATACAGCATTTGCCATATAACGACATTTAGAAAAGATTGGGAAAGTTTGCAAACTGGGTGTTTGGGTTTCATATGCTCTTAACAAAAGAAAAAAGTAAATAATTTATCCATGGCAACAAGACTCCTTTCACAACAGAGAAATAACACGTTACTTAAATATGTCATCACAGGTGAGGAAAAGTGGGTGGCATACAACAATGTTTAGTGCAAAGGACAGTGGATTAGCAAGGATAAATCTCCACAACTGATTCCAAAATCTAATCTTTGTGGAAGAAATGTAATGTTGTGTGTGGAGTTGGATTTACGGCGTATTATTCATGTAGAGTTCTTAAAACGCAATTAAGCACTGCATGCACATTTATACATCCATCAACTGCAACGTGTCCATGGAATTTTGATTGAAAAGCGCTCTATGTTCGTAAATGGGGAAAACAATTGTTCTTCTCTATGACGATGCAAGATAGCATACAGCATGAACAGCACAAGAAAGGTCTGGAAGTTGGTTGGACATTTCTAGCCTAATTGCCATATTCACCTGATTATTACATTTTTCGATGAGGGAAAACTTTTTGTAATAAAAACCATGCTGAAGATTTCGTCAAAACCTGTGGAATCTTAATAAAAAGCTGTTGAAGAGCTGCTTGATAACTGTAAACAAGTCACTGAAAATAATGGTGAATATATAATTGTATAAAATGTAATTGTACTTTACCTTCTTAAGGAAGTTTATAAACGAAGACGGAAATTATTTGTGACTCATCATAATCAGCTATTTTTTTTTTTTTTTACCATCTAACTACAAATATCCGAAAGTCGTAATTCAACATTATATTTCACTCACCTCCATTATGAACAAATAAGCTTATAGCCTACGTTAACATAAAACCATCAGTTCTGTTAAAGTTGGTAAACATAATATACTTAGGAAGGTATCATTAAGAGTTCATTGATTTGAACAATGTATTTATGGAGACTTCATTAATAGATTATGGATCTAAACTATGTATTTATGAAGGCCTCAATAACAGATCATGGATTAAACTATATATTTAGGAAGGCCTCAGTAACAGATCATGGAGTTGAACTATGTATTTAGAAAGTCCCAATAAGAGATCATGGATTTGAACAATGTATTTTTGAATGCTTCAATAAGAGATCATGGATTTGACCTATGTATTTATAAAATCCTCAATACGAGACCATGGATTTGAAATATGTATATATGAAGGTCTCAATAAGAGATTACGGTTTTGAACTATGTATTTATGAAGCACTCAATAACAAATCATGGATTTGAATAATGTATTCATGAAGGCTTCTGTAAGAGATCATAGATTTGAAATATGTACTTATGAAGGTCTCAAGAGGAGATCATGGATTTGAACAATGTATTTATGAAGGCTTCTGTAAGAGATCATGGATTTGAACTATGTACTTATGAAGGTCTCAAGAGAAGATCATGGATTTGAACTATATATTTATGACGGCCTCAATAAGAGATCAAAGATTTGAACTAAGTGTTTATGAAGGTCTTAATAGGGGATCATGGATTTGAACAATGTATTCATAAGGCTTCAAAAAGAGATCATGGATTTGAACTATGTACTTATGAAGGTCTCAAGAGAAGATCATGGATTTGAACTATATATTTATGAAAGCCTCAATAAGAGATCAAAGATTTGAACTGTTTATGAAGGTCTTAATAGGGGATCATGGATTTGAACAATGTATTCATAAGGCTACAACAAGAGATCATGCATCTGAAATATGTATTTATGAAGGCCTCACTAAACGAATCTTAGATTTGTACTATGTATTTAGGAAGGCCTCAATAAAAGAACATAGATTTGAACTATGTATTTATTCATACATGCCATATTTGAAAATCATCATTATCATGAACTTTTGCAAAACTTTGAATTTATAAACTTAGTCGAGATTTCAGAAAATTTGTTCAGTGTAGCCATATTGCTAAACTTTTTATAAGTAGATTTTTATTATATTAATAATCTCAGGCATAAAATTGGAACTCAATTTTTGCCGGTTTTATAAATTATTGAACCTCGTTGACAGGTTAACTATAATGGCCTCCTGTACCACAAATATTAATATAATAGCACGATTTCTTTTAACTGTTTTGTTTTCCCGGTAGCCAGAAAAACAAGAAAAAGTTACAGATCAAAGATCATGATTTTGGTTGCTGGAGAGGAAATATTTAGCTAGATGTCTGTTTTGCTAAAAGAAAAGGTAAACATACGCTTTAACTAATCTGACGTGGAAAAGTAAGGGACTGGTTTAGCATTATACTTACTGGGTAAATTGAATTCCCCACTAAAAACGTAAATAAATTCGGAATTTTCCGAATTTAATGCGGATTTGCTGGTCATGCAATGTTTAGCGTCTCGAAAAGGAAATCGGCGAATCGAGTTCGAGTTCCGGTCGAATCCATTACACTTACTTATTCTTGGGTAAGATATCACTAGAAATCCAATGAGCTAGAAGAATTTCTTTTTTCCAGGTTTTAAGATAAGACGTATAGCCATATTGTCACAATTTGTCGTAAGAATCACTGAAAAACATTACCGCCTTACGACATTTTTCATGCCATTCTACATATCTCCCCTTCGACTTTTGAAAATTTCTATGATACCAGCGTATTTGCGAGAGTGTAACGTTCTTAAATATTCGCCTTATGAGCAGTCATTTTATTTGTTTTTTTTCTCCTTCAGTTCCCCAACCACACTAGCTATGGATTAAAAAGGGAAGCTCTTCTTCAACAAGGACTGTTGATGCGATAACTGCATGCCTTTTCTCCTAAGTACGTCGACGCACATTGTCATCAAATACTTTTCCCCCGTTTGAATATTAACTCTTTAAATAGTAAAAGTTGTGTTCTTTTTTTTCTCTTTAAAAACTGTTGCCAGTTCATTTGAGCTCATTTGACTTAATCCAACCCTTATCCTATTATCGCGGATATGTTGACCAAAATTAATTAAAATTATATAAAGATTATTGAGAATATAATATAACAGTACTATAATAATTCTTCTACACAAAAAAAACACAAATAAAATAAAGATTGGAAAATAATTGAGTCAAGGGAATACGATTTCAAGTTAATTATTTACAGCTGGCCTTGAAAGAGTCACCCAGAAATTAATTAGAAAAGATGTAGGGGTAGACATAAAGGATGAATATTTAAACCATCTACGTTTTGCTGGCGACATTTTTTCTAATATCTGAAGCAGTGGATAAATTACAAGAAGTGCTAAATGACCTGAATAGGGTGAAAATTGAACAGAAATAAAAAAAAAAGTATACTTCAATACTAACATTGTGAAAATTACCATAAAACTAGATGAAAAAATGTGGTATAACTGTACCTATTTTCCAGGGGACTCTATGTAACGCCCACTAGGTGGCAATGTAAAAAGCAGTATAGAAGGAAAGGGCACAAACCCTCTCTCGTTTTTCTCTTCGAGCGCAGTGGCAAGCCATATATCTTTTTTTTTTCCTCCGAGGGGTTTCTTAGTCTCCAGGTGAACGACATGTCGCATACGATACGCTAAGCCATCTCCTTTCCGAAAAGAAATTATGCAACCGCAATACATTTATATTCAATATAAATAAAAAATATTCCACTTCAACAAATAAGACAATGCTGCTACAAACTGGTGATGTCCGTAACGTCATTGAGATATTGATTCATATTCTACGGCTGATCAACACTTAGCAGGTTATTTAAAAACAGAAAATATTTTTAGATTGTCTTCAGAGATAATAATGATCTACTGATACAAATTTTATTAATTAACCCATGGCTGGGGGGGAAGGTGGATTCATATCTTTCCCTAAGGGTAACTGCGCATGAGTGAATATAACGAACCCAATTGGAATTGGAACACGGCTCTCCGTTCAACAGTCCCAAACCATTATCCATTACATCGCCCGCATATATATATATATATATATATATATATATGCGGGCGATGTAATGGATAATGGTTTGGGACTGTTGAATATATATATATATATATATATCCATGCTTACAGCACCTGGTATTCACAAGCGGTCACCCATCTAGGTACTGACCAGGCTCGAAGTTGCTTAACTTCGGTGATTGTACGGGAACCGGGGGGTTTCAACGCTTATATGGTTAGTAGTTCACCGAATAAAGATTTTTGTCTGCTTTACTAACTTTACAACCTAGTCCTGTATATAAATCTATATATAAAATTCTGTCACTTCCGTTAGTCCGTCGGTCCTTCCGTCCGTCACACACTCTAAACCAGAGGTTCCCAAATTTTTTTCTCCTTTGGGCCGCATTTTCGGAATGAAAATTTGCTCGCGCCTCACAAAATGTTATGTGATAAAAAGTACTAGGCGCGATGGGTAAATTATCGCCATTTTATATTTTTTTAAAAATCGCGCATGCGCATTGTTTGTTTTTAATTTTGTCGATTGCACAGTATAGTAGGGTCAGTTGAGCACCATCTGTGAGAAAAAGAGCACCATGATGCAATTCAATCCACCAGAAATTTGGAAGAGGCATGCTGTATTGCTTAGCATTCGTACCGGAAGCTACAATACAAACATTTCAGAGTGTTTGAGTGTCAATCTGAGGATAGTGCTGAGGATTCGAAAAGAGTTGGATGAATCTAATGGTGATTACGAAGGTTTTAGGAGTGATCACTAGTGATGGAGACGTTATGTTTCCATTCATCTTCCCAGAGGGTTTAAGACTCAACACGGAGGCCTACATCAATCTCCCTTGAGGAGGTAGTGCTACCCTGGGTCAAGAGGGTGGCTGCTGGAAGACTCTATGTCGGCCAGCAGGACTCTGCACAGTGGTACACAATCAGGAGAATCCAGTCATGGCTGTCAGACAATTTCTGCAACCCCATAACCCCTTACAATTGGCCACCTATCTCCTTAGACTGCAACCCTCTTTATTATTATTTGTGGGGTGCAGTTCAGCGAGAAACCAACAAAACTCCTTGTAATACCAAAGATGAAATGAAGGGAAGGATTATGACAGCATTCACCAACTTAAACAAGGATACAGCCCTGCAGAGTTACAGGAGATTACGAAGTCGTCTGGAGGCCGTAGTTGACGCCAATGGTGATTTTATTGAATCAATTTACTCTTTAATATTTTAAAATAATTTGCGTAATTTTGGTAAATATATCTGTTAAAATGAGATATTACTGTTATTTTCCTTTTTGCGTAATTTAGACGAATATTTATGTCACGCGATCTGTATATTTAAAAATAAAAAAAGAATAAAGAAAGGCTTAAAGGGAGATAACCACGGATTCGAAGTCAGAACATTATCATTGATAACTCACTCCTCTAATTTGCGGACCCTAATTACTATATTCATAATATTCGATATAATGCGAAAATATCACAATGATAAAATTGCTCAATAATTATTTATAAGTATTTATACTGGGACTCATGCATGAAATCCATAATAATATTTTAAATTTTTAAATCATATTTATTTTGGCATATGAAATTTTTTAAAACTGTTTCTAAATCTTTGATCGTCTTACAATCATTCCGCCTCACATGCTACCCTCTTCCGCTGCACCTATGAGGTGCGCCCGATCGTTTGGGGACCATTGCTCTAAAATAAACACACATTGAGCGATCTGGAGAAGTGCAAACAGGAAAGTGGATACAAAGTACAGTTTGTTTAACTAGAATGCGTAGATTAGTATAAAAAAGAATTTTCATTATTTTTTATTTTTTTAAAAAATTAAATGTTTTATTATTTAACATACAAAATACTCCCAATATTTCAAAAACAAATTTAATGATTAAAATAACAAATACTTATTCAATAAAAATGCAATACTTTTCTTACATATCTTTTCTTTAAGTTTATATATATATATATATTTAAATCTGATAAAATATAATGCGCAGTCTTCCGTGTATATCGCCACGGTTGATTTGTCAGGAAGGATACTTCCTGATGTTATCGGTCTGGAGGGGGAGGATCCCAGCGTGCGACACCTTTGGAAGGTGCCTGAAAACCATTACCACGTGAGTGAAATTGGGTAGACGGAACACTTGGCGGCCGTCGATAGTTGTGCTAGGTAACACGTCATCGTGACTGAGGGTTTGAGTGTGCTGGCATTGTTCAGATTGTTGATCATGCTAGATAACATGCTCACTCCCAGAAACTGTAACTAAGGTCTGCTCAGCATAGTTGCAGGTTGTCTCTGTGGGTGTTGAACAAACACAAATGTACCTGGGGGAGAGTCTGCAATAGGGATTGGCTAGCCACCCTAGTAGACGGGTATCCTCAAATACGAGTGTCCAGCTATTATATATATATATATATATATATATATATATACACGTTCGGACTGATTATATGCTTATTAATATAATGTTAATCGTTGGGGTTGTTGCATTTAACGGCAGTTGATGGAAACTAATTAGGAATATTTTCGATGCATTTTGGGATGGCTGAAATGCATCCCAAAAGCTAAGCAGGGTATTAAGAGACAGAAAAGTTTCATTAGAAACAAAGGAAAGACTACTGAACTGGTATGTGATACCAGTCCTCGTGTATTGCAGCGAATCGTCGACAATCTCCTCATGAGGAAGACACTTGAAGCAACAGAAATGTGGTTCTATAGAAAAATGCCGCGGATACCATGGACCGAACATATGAGCAACGACGAGGTTTTGGAAAAAAAAAATGAAAACAAAAAGGAAACTTATACTTAACATCAAGAAGAGGCAATTGGAATTTCTGCGTCACGTAATGAGAAAGGAAGGCTTGGAAAACTTGATACTTACAGGACAGGTTGAAGAAAAGAGTGACAGAGGAAAGCAGCACGTAACGTATTTGATAAAAAAAAAAACAGGGTTTGGGAGAAGTAACAAAAAGACAAAACTTATTAATAGCTACAATGGTGAGAATGATGTGGAGGACCATGATCGTCTACGCCCTGAAGGGCCACGGCACATAAAAGAAGTAAATATAAACACAGTAGTGATAATTTCAAATAGGCAAACAATACGATTGCGAGGATTTGAACACGCGTCAGAGTGTTGCAAAAATATTCTAGTGTATATATAAAATCAATGGATGCGTTGAATACATTTATTTGGAGATTATTAATAGAGAAAGTTTCAATGTAAGTTAAAAAGTGAAAAGAAATTACAAGAAAAGTAATGTAATACAACATTCGTTTTATTTCTAATTGCTAATGTTCTGTTGTAAAACTCTGAAAAGGATCATAAAAATAATAAAAAACAAAAAAACAAATGAAGAACCCGAAGAAAACAAGAATGCATATATCTATATATGGACAGGTAATTATATTAAAGAGAGATCGCTGAAACGAAATAAAGCGATGTATAACAATAGATTGGGAAGCCTCTAACAAAAATAAAGATATACTGAAAAGCAGCTGGCCAATAGGCTTAAAGCGTAAAGAGTACGATAAATGCATTATGCCAGCTATGATGCACATGGAAAATTGACAAAATCGCTTGGAAACATCTTAAAAGATACACAAAGATCAATGGAAATAGAAATTCTAGGAAAAAAGCTAATAGAGAGAGAGAGAGAGAGAGAGAGAGAGAGAGAGAGAGAGAAAACGGGAGGGAGAGAGGCTAACATGGATCAAATAAAAGAGATATAATAAAAAGTGATAAAACAACAAAAAATGAAGGTGGCCAGAATGCATCGCAGCAAAAAAAACGATAACAGATGGAGTTATAGGTTGCTTGCTTAACTTTATTGCATTTTAGTGGACACCTTTCTTTAAACTAAAATTTAACTCCGTCTTCAAATGACGCCGCGAAAAACCGCTTTATTATAAAAAGATATTTAGTTTACTGGTATATCCTCGTTGTTGCTCATATGTTCGGTTCATCGTATCCTCAGCATTTATTTTTGTTTACTGGCATATCAACCTCAATGGGTTATTTAATGCAAAAGCCAAAATCTACATATTTTGTAAGTAAGTTTATGCATTCAACTACAGATATTTTCTAAATAATTTTATACTTCCGGAGTAAAGCTATGTTTATATATATATATATATATATATATATATAGTTTGTAGATCATAAAATGTATTGTTGGTAATTTTACTATAAAAATGTATTTTTATATTTTATGTGTTGCACTGATTATTATTTTGCTATAAAAATCTATTGTTTCTCATTTTATTATAAAAATATACTGTTGATTTTTTTCAGGTCGGGCGGGTGGCGGGGGGACAATTAGCCCAAAGCCGGGACCTGAACAGGTGCTACAAACACCGGTCACTAGATATTCAGAAACTGCAGGCGGACTTGTTTCAAATTCTGCTTATGATTACTTCTGCGACTCTTTTGCATTTTGAGGTTATTTCTTCTAGCTGAATATAGTTCCATTGCCAGTCATCTCTACATCACCTTGCATCGGGCATGCTGACTGCATTCCCTGAAGAAAGCCAAGCCATCCACAAACAGGGGCAACATCAAGATGGAAGCAGATAGATTCAAGTATAAACTCGATCAAACTTTACCTAAAGATTCAAGTATAAATTCGACCTATAGACTCATATATAAAACCGATAAATGTTTACATGTTATGTTATGATTCAAATACAAAACAGACAAATGTTTCCCAATACTTTCAAGTATAAATCGGATCTATGTTTACCTATAAACTCATGAATAACCCGGTCAAAATTTACTAATAGTATAAGTCCGATATAAACCTATAGATATATGTAATATAGATTCAAGTCTAAACCCGACCAAACTTTACCTAAAGATTCAAGTATAAATACAACCAATGTTTTTGACTCATGTATAAAACCAGCAAGATCCGCCTATAGCCTCATGTATAAAACCAGCAAGATCCGCCTTATAGCCTCATGTATAAACCCGACCAAAGATTAAATATAAATTCAAGTATAAAGCTAACCAATATTTACCTATAGATTCATATAGAAAACCGACGAATGTTTGTCTATATATTCAAGTATAAATCGAATATAAACCTAAACTCAGATATAATCTGGCCAATGATTTCATAGATTCAAGTATGGGTACGGCTAATGTTTAATAATCGTCTCATGTATAAAACCGAAGGATACTTGCATATTGATTTAAGAATAAACCCCACCTATGTTTAGTGATAGATTCAAGTATAAACACGACTAATGTTTATAGACTTACGTATAAAACCAACCAGTGTTTACCTATAATCTCAAGTATAAATCGAGTTTCAGTTGAAGCAGTTTTAGTTCAGTCAACATTATTGGTTTTGGGAAAGGCAAGAACCTATTTCTTACACCCCAATATATATATATATATATATATATATATATATATATATATATATATATGTGTGTGTGTATATATATATATATATATATATATATATATATATATATATATATATATATATATATATATATATATATATATATATATATATATATATAACGTTATAGAAAACGTGAAAAATTTGCCTTTCTCTCTTCCTTGCGACGATATCCTAGGGGTTAGGATCTGTGAATGATGCCAGATAGGTCGGGTTTCGATCCCGGCATGAAGCAATCAGACGTCTAACCACACTGAAGAGATGTTATACAGCGAAACATTCAGTCCATGGATCACTATATATATATATATATATATATATATATATATATATATATATATATATATATATATGTGTGTGTGATAAAATAAATGTGTATATAAATAAATAAATATATATATATATATATATATATATATTAGTTGATTTAAAATATGTTTTTTTTTCCGCTACCATGTTTCAAAAATGGAAGCTAAAAGCTCAGAATTTAATTTTGTAATTAAATTAAAGACATTAGTTCCATTTCATCCTCAAGCGAATTTTGGAGTAACTTTTAAAATTACTGGGTTTTAAAGACACAGCTAAAATCATAATTCATGTTTCCAAGGTTACAGATAAAACCACTTTTACTAGACTATGGGTGTCTGCGCGTTCATTATGTCTACATTTAGGTGTATCAGTTATTTGCTACGGTATTTTTCAATGAAATCTAACATCCGTTAAATGCATGTCGTCTGGATTTAAACAAAATTTTTTTATTGTTAACGGCAAAAATTCTTACGGCATTTTTTTCCTATTTTTTATATTTAAAGATTTTTGGTGGGTGTTTTGGTTAGAATACGTTTTATTTAACTACGATTTGAAATTTTTTCACTTTTAAATTTTAATATACTATATTTGTTTTAAGAACAATTAAATGTATTAGAATCCCTTACAGTATGTAGAATTATTTTCACTTCAAGTATAAGTATATATGTTATTAGGTTACAAAATTTTTCTTTTTTCTTTTTTTTAGTAAAATTTATGATCATCACGGCAAAAATAGCTACTTACTTTCACTGATTTAGTAAACTTTTATTTTTTATATAAACCTAGTGATATATTGTTTCTCATGTAAGTACAAAGGACATGGGTCATTCAAAAGCTTACATCTTCTAGCATTTCATATTAATTTCATTTTACTGTGGGTGTTTTATTGGATTCTTTTAAGTTCGTGTAGTACTAATAGGGAGGTCTTTAGGTTAGGAGACATTTTATTTAATTACAATTTAAAAGAAGTTTAGGTTAGGATTCATTTTATTTAACTACAATTTTACTTACATCTTTAAAATATTTTCATTGTTAGTTTTAATAGACTATATTTCTTTTAATAGAAGTAAATGTATTAGAATTACTTACAGTAAGTAAAATTATTTTTCCATTTCAAGTATATGTATATTACGATTTTTAAAATTTTATATTTAAATATTATTTAAGTAAAATTTATGGCACTATCGGTAAAAATAGCTAATTCATTTCTCTGATTTAGTAAACTTTATTTATTTATTTTTATATATAAACTTAGTAATATATAGTTCCACATGTATGTACAAAGGACATGGGTCATTCAATGGCCTACATCTTCAAGCTTTTCGTCATAATTTCATTTTTCAGTATGTGTTTTATAGGATTCATTTAAGTGCCGGTAGTACTTTTTGAGAGGTGTTTAGATTAGAATACGTTTTATTTAACTACAATTTTAAAAGATGTTTAGGTTAGAATTCGTTTTAACTACAATTTTAAATGCAACATTAAAATATTTTCATGTTATTTTAATACCTTATTATTTTTTTTTATAAGAAAAACCAGTAAATGTAATAGAATTACTTACAGTATATAAAATTATTTTTTCCTGTTAAATATAAGTATTACGCGATCGCACCTTTTTAAATTTACTTTTATTTTTAAACATTATTTAAGGAAAAACTGGAAACTTTTATAAAACAACCATAAAGGAATACAACGACCTAATAAATAAGGACTTACATAAGAACTACAAGAAAGCGAATAAAAATGACCTCAACATAGTTCGGGATATCAATACTAGTAGTAAGGAAATCACTGATAAACTAAAAATCAGTGATAGAGTAGGTCAACTATATCAAAAAGGATGCTATATAACCTTAAAGGACCATAGCTTCCATTTTTGAAACATGGTTAGAACTGTGTAGCGGGAAAAACATATTTTAAATCAATTAATTTATAATATTAATGCTCTGTAAATTTACATTGAGCACTATTTTGTAAAAATATCTATAAGAACACCGGATTATATATCTTACTGTTCTTTCTTTTATATATATATATATATATATATATATATATATATATATATATATATATATAATTATTTATATATTATATCCATGGTACTTATTAGAAAGCGCTCAATATCAGAGATAGAGCTAACATATTTGTTGGATTGATGTGAGTTTGTGACCCTGGGTTTCACGCTCTTGCGATCGTCAGACAAACTCTTGTATGGATTTGTATGACGATCGCAAGAGCGTGAAACCCAGGGTCACAAACTCACATTAATCCAACCAAATATATATATATATATATATATATATATATATATATATATATATATATATATATATAGCCGGACTTAGTCCATTACATAATACATATATATTATAAATAAAGTGATATAAAATATGTTTTTTCTCGCTACACAGAAAAAAAACATATTTTATATCACTTACTTTATAATATTTAGGCTTTGTAAATTTACATTGAGCACTGTTTCTGTAAAAATAAAAATTAAAAATATCAGTAAGAACACCGGATTATATTTTTTACTGTTCTTCCTTATATATATATATATAAATGTCTTTAATAAATAAATTGTCGGACTTTGTCCATTTCTTAATATATATATATATATATATATATAGTGTAACCCGGATATAAGAGAGTTGTCGGGACCGGAGAAGAAGTCTCTTATATCCGGGTTTGGTCTATTTTATATACATTAACTCAGGCTCTAATTTGGGACCAGAGGAAATTTCTCTTATATCCGGGTTTCTCTTATATCTGGATTTGGTCTATTTTATATATATATTAACACAGGCTCTAATTTGGGACCAGAGAAAATCTCTCTTATATCCGGGTTTCTCTTATATCCGGGTCTGTTATATCCGGGTTACACTGTATATATATATATGCATAAATTTCATTAAAAACGACTGACAGGGTGACTGTGATTAAGTGTTTTGTTTAACTTTTCTTTTGTCCGTATACATTTTTTTCCGAACATAAAGTAATGTAAAAATTGTCCTAATGTTCTGTGTGTCTACGTGCTTTCAGTTATTCTTTTAGCCATTAACAAGGATGTTTTTTTATATTTATTTTTAAATGAATGCATGAATTTTTTATGTATGTAAAGGAATGTTTTTTGTTTTCCAAACATGGTCAGTACATTGTGGCCGTGTTCATAGTTGATGTTACTGAGTGAAACGTACACAACAAATAGCTTTATTACCTTGCTTGGGGTGAATGATTAAAAAACGAAAAAAAAAAAAAAAAAAGAAAAGAAAAGAAAAGCTATTTGAAATGTAACTCCGGCTACTTTGAAAAAAATATCGTTAGTATTATCTTCGTTTTAAAGTAAAAGAACGTAACATGTTTAATGCATTTCGATCATTTTATTCAATAATAAATCAATCATTAAACAGATTCATAAATATAATCTTTTTTTCCTCACGCGTCGAGTTGTCACGGATAACATTCCATGATGACATCTTCAAAAAAATTATTTCCGCCATTTTTTTTTTTTTTTATTTATTTAAGATGACACTCACATGTTGTTATTACACACTTTATATGTCTTACCGAATCGTGAATACATTTCCCGTGTCGTCAGCAACTGAAATTCGTTTTACAAATGATTCGTGATGTTTATTCTTCGATAACATCGAAATCATTTGACTTGCTACTTTTTGTTTCATAATGTCGTGTTTGTTCGCCGACAAGTTTTCTCCAGAATACGCGAATGAATAAATAAGCGATTTTTTTGATTTTTTTTTAAATGTCGTAAAAAAATTGATTAATGTAAAAGAAAGCCGCAAGAAACGTTGAAATGAAATACCGGGTCCCCAACATATACGGTGGGGTGGGGAAATGTGGAGGAAACATTTTTTTTCTTCTAAACACTTCTTTCGAAACGGATTTTAGAAGAACTTTCTATGTATCGAACATTTCGCATCTGGAGATTTTATTGTTATATCTATCTTTATTCATATTTTCATCTATCTATCTATCTATCTACCTATCTAATTCAATTCACATATATATCGCATATCTATCTATCACATCTATCTATCTATCTATCTATCTATCTCATCATCTATCTATCTATCTATCATTCAATTCAATTCACATATATATCAGTTCATCTATCATCTATCCATATTTATCTATCCATCTATCTCATTCAATTCACATATCGCATTCAATTCATTTTAGTCATTATCTATCTATCTTAATATCTATCTATCTATCTATCTATCTATCTATCTATCTATCTATCTATCTATCTATCATTCAATTCACATATATCGCATTCAGTTCACTATCTATCTATCTATCTATCTATCTATCTATCTATCTATCTATCTATCTCATTCAATTCACATATATCGCATTCAGTTCACTATCTATCTATCTATCTATCTATCTATCTATCTATCTTTTCACATATATCGCATTCAATTCATATTTAACTCAGTCTGATCATTATCTACCTTAATATCTATCTATCTATCTATCTATCTATCTAATCTATCTATCTCATTTTCACATATATGCATTCAATCTCAGTCTGATCATTATCATTCATTCATCTATCTATCTATCTATCTATCTATCTATCTATCTATCTATCTTGTTCAGTTTTTCAAGTCAGTTTTTTCTATTTAAGAAGCGACCTCGCATTTTGGCCAACTCGATATTTAAAATGTCTTAGTCAGAATTCCTACGGTTGTATTATGGAATTATTTTGGGGAAAATTCATCGAATTACCTTCTCTTCCCCTATGCACAATCCACTTTCAAAATGGATTCATATGGAAATCAAAGCCCTCACATACATCAATAGAATGACAGCAAGAAACCTCAAGACGCGGCTAGGAAGCCCTTAACTCAACCATGTACAGTCCTAACCTAGCACCATGAGACTTAAATGTCTAAGAAAGTAACCTATAAGTATAAGTAACTTCATTCAGATGTATAATAACCGCGATTGAAATCGAATGAGACAATCGAGATTATAAGAGTTGGGGTCCTGAGACGTTCGTTGTTCCTTTGGATATACTTTGTCTATTCGACTATTAAATCTGTTGTAATTAACAATGGTGTTTAAATTGACAATTTACTGATTGGTTAATTGTGTTCTCTTCTTTCATTGGTCAGAAGATTCATATCTATTGGATTTAATTTATATCTAAATTTGTTCACTATCTATCTATCTATCTATCTATCTATCTATCTATCTATCTATCTCATACAATTAATATCTATCTATCTATCTATCTATCTATCTATCTATCTATCTATCTATCTATCTATCTATCTCATTCAATTCACATATATCGCATTCAATCCATATTTAGCTCAGTCTGATCATTATCTATCTATCTATCTATCTATCTATCTATCTATCTATCTATCAATCTATCTTCCTAAATAATGAAGAATTGAATAAGTTTAATGGTAAAGTATAATGTTAATAATTTCCAATAATGCAATGCGTATTGTGCTTTTCTGGTAATTCAAAGTAAGGAAATGGGTTTTTTACTCATTCTTTTCCTTTATCTGTAGACATGGTATGAAATGAAAGATGTTCAATATCTTTTTCTTTTCGGGTTAATTTCTAAAGGTTCCGTGAATTTCCTTTTTCCTTTGGGCCTTCTGAGCTCTGGCACTGATTTGCAGTATTGGAACCTCAAACGTGTCAAAGATGACGTCCATAGTGTCATCTTCTATAGGATTCCTGTCAACTACACTTTCATACCATTTTCTAATTTGGTTTACATAACGTTTGTGTATAAACTTCAGCCCCTGAACCATGTAAATCATGTTACCAATTTGTCTGTCGATTGTTCCCATCTCCCAGTGAGCTTTATTATCCCCAAATACACGAAAAAAACCTTTTCACCGATCTTAAAGCGCTTTTTAAGCACTTTATTCCTATTTCCCGCTTCTAAGATTGACTTAAGCGACGCGTATCTACAAATACCCGTGGACGAGGACTGCTCGAAGCTCCTTTGCATAAACATCCACAAGGGTTTATACAAATTTTTAAGACCTCCGTTCGGGGTTAAGGCCGCCCCTTCCATTTTTCAACATGTCATGGGCACGATGTTAAATTGTCTGGATTTTTTCTTTTTAAATTTTCTTTGGCGTATCTTTTTAGTATGAGCCACGATACTCTGTTCGATGTTTTTCGAATCCTCTCTGACACTCACGAAATGTTGGCAATCTTCGACAACTTGCTGTAAAGTAACGTCGGGCTCATTCCCAAGCTTGTTGAGTAGCCTACGATGCATTTCGGCGTCTTTCGCTGAAATCAAACCCTGGACGAAAATCAGGTATTTAAAATTATTGGCGCTTAACTCTGCCAATTTGAAATCCTCGCAGTGTTTATTGACTACACTCACGAAAGTAGTATAATCTTCGTCTTACTGGCGGGTGAAATTCATGCATTTCCAACGCTTGTGGAACAGTGATGTTTTTGAACTGAAGAGTTCTGTTAATAATAGAACCGCCTCTTTAAATTTCAAGCCGCTGGTTTTCTTAGGCAAAATATAGTTAACAAACTTAGTATATTCTGCTGTACCTAATTTCCTGAGGAGTAGGGGAACTTATGGTCTGCCCAACTTGCACAATCCGTATTGTATAAGTCCTCGTAACGTTTAAAGTACGAAGCGAATGTAATTTCTTCTTCAAATGCAAACGTGAAGTTTTCAGTAGCACCCCAAATAGCATTTTGAGAGAACGCGTTTTCACTGTCCTCATTTTGGCTTTTGATGAATATATTATACAAGTGTCTTTGCTCATTCTGTGTTTGAAGGAGCATTTTTTCCTGTTTCTGTTGTCTAACCTGAATTTCTAGGTGCAATTCCTCAAATTTCTTGTGGTATCTGCTTGTTCTC